TCACGCGCGCTAGTTACTGCACCTTCGCTCAATCACACATTTCTCTATGAAATATGATCTAGATTTTTTATGGTAGAGGACAGACAAGTATATAGTATAACATCTAAACTTGGCGCTTCGTCGACTGTTGTCTTTGAATATTCGGAAATCCACAGACTGAAGCCGAAACTCTCTGAACGGTGGTTTGTTATTTGGACGGAATTCCGATATTTCTATTATTCATTTAATATCCAGATTTCAAGACGAAGTCCGATTTGTTTCACAAAAATTATATATTGTTGAGAACAATATTGCACCCTGTGGCGAACCCACGACCGGCCATATATTTCCTACTATTACGCCATTCGCCAACGAGCCTAAGCTATGTAGATCGGTATTTAGCTATTGTACAAAGAGTGGATTATGTTTGGCTCGGTAGCTCAATTGGTTACAGCACGGAACGCTGACGATGCCGCTTCAAGTCCGGCCCGAATCGTAAATTATATCATTTTATTTTCGATTTTTGAAATATATAGTGCCATCATGTGCAATAATATGTGATAAATATTAAAGTTTTCTGTCGTAGATAGAAAAAGTAACTTTTTAAATTGACTAGCGGTGCCCGCGACTTAGTCCGCGTGTAATATTTATTTTAGGCATTTATAAAATTTATTTTTAATCTTCTCATACGTTATAACTGTTACTCACGACATCCTCCTCATCCCGCCCTTCTTGCAAGTTAATCTTAAAGGATGTATATTAGCAGTTGACGCGAAGTCCTGAAGTGGGTGAAAATAATAATTAAGCTACCTTTATTTCATTAGCGTTACTATGATTCATTATATAAATAAAAGTCTATAACTTATTATTATAGTTTATGGTTCGTCGATTCGTTACGCAACAAAAGACATACAGCCTTGCACTACGGTTCGATTCATCTAAAACTTTGTAAACAGATTTTTTTTATTTATGACAAAGAGTCTAAGTTATCAGCCGACCCAAATGTCTCGAACAAAGAGTAACCAGCGTTAGCTATTGGCGATTTCAAATGGCGATGACAAAACCTTGAAGTTTAATCACGTCTGTGCATTTCTGAAAATCCGAAGCCGAAATACGTCGACTTTTTGAGATGTTCTAGAACTCTGGTACTCGTCTGTCCTCTATTATAATATTTTTTCCATAAAACCCATCATTTAGTTTAGGTCTCCAAACAGTTGAGGTTTGGGATTACCACTTTGGAAGATTCTCTTTGTAAATAGCGTAGCATTGTAATATACTAGGATATTCATATTTTTTAATATATATTACTTTAATTCTTATTTCTTGGGAATAAAGGTTTTATTGAACTAAAGAGGCAGTGAAGACATTCAAGGTTAATCGTTAAACCTTGCTTTTTGCGCTATTAAAGTATAGTTACACTTGTTTTAGACTACAATTTGATATTTTTCTTATTATCTTCCGGATTTTAAGATGAAAAAATTGTAGTCTATTATTAAATGGATTTATTGAGGTAAACTATACCTAATTTATAAGAAGAATTATAAACACATCTATCTATCTCGGTTTTATTTATTGTTTGTCTTTTTATTGCAAGTTATTATCTAGTAGCATATCTAACAAAGTACGTGAAGTCATTTTTAAATTTTCTATAACGCACGTTGAGTTTAAAAATATGTTACAAACAAATATACGATTTAAAAAAAAACCAGCTTAGGGCAAACATATTTTCAACTATCTCCTTAGTAAATCATTAATTAAACAAAGTAAACCGAGAAAATAAGAAAATCGAGAAATGATACACTTCATTACTACTTGTCAGTGAGGGACTCTATCTGCAGCATGAATATGGGTGCAATAAAGAATTTTAGATTTTTGTCTTGTGCTTAAAATAACAACTGATTTTGCATGTGTAAAGTTCGATTACCTTACTAGAGACAGTCGAATTTATGTGTCCGTATACTGGTTTTATATCAAAGCAAGTAGTTGATGAGATATCTGTTTCCTAGCAGATCGACACTACCAAGTATTATATTTATATCTCCCGAGGGTGAAACCTCACACTATGCATTTAATGAGTCAAGGCAGTGGTCCTGCTACCTGTAGGCGTAGGTATAGTTGAATAAACGATAATAAAATTGTAAAAATATTAAATAATATGACAACATTCAACGTTAGGTCAATGTTTCTTATAAAATAAGGATATAAGTAAGTTTCCTTTTTAGAAGTTGCACTCCACACTAAATTCTATATTTGGTGTCGACGCCTACAATACTCACTTCAAATATCAAAAATCAACCTTTATATTTTTATTTTGTGGTACAAAATGTGCGATTGGATATTTTATTTTACAATTTCTCAATATAACATATTAAAACTTTTGCAACGGTTTAAAACCGTTAAACGGGTCTAGGTTTCCCCGGCATGGATGTTGTAAACCGTTCGGTATTTGATTCCGAATCCTAGACGCCCTTGCTCAGCTGGTCCAGGATTCGAGTCCCGGAAAAAACGTTCATTCCAAAAGAGGATAATTAATTTCTATTGATGTAGCCTTACATAATTTTACTTATTTATAGTTAAAATTTAAAATAACAAAAATAGGAATACAAAAGTACCGTTTACATTTAAGGTACGATAACAACGTATTAAAAACTATTTTTCTAGTAATACTAGAAGCGATATCAAATAATAAACAAAGCCCTATTCGTTTTACATTTCCAAACACATTACGTGTAATTAAAGATGGCGCCAGTATCGCAACCTAATTCCTTGATTGTCGTGCGTAACACATTCATTATGTATGTAGGACTGAATTAGCGAAATTCAACGGTAACAAGCAATAGCGCCGTTTAATTCGTAAAGAATACTCGAAATTAAATGAGAGAAATCATAGACTAGGCGTGTCCCGTGGTTTCGTTTACAAATTAAAACGTGAGTATTTGAAAACTTCAATATTTATCACATGTTAGTGTACATGATGGTACTATATAATTTAAACCCGAATATAATTTCAAAAAAAATACGACACGGGCAGGTTTCGAATCGGCATCCACAGCTTTCCCTGTTATTGCTCTAACCAATTGAGCTACTGTGTCCTAAACGTCATCGTCGAATTTGATTTGACGCTACGTGGGAATTTGCTAAGTAAGAAAAAACCCAGGCTCTCGGATGTAAAAGTTGTGTGTGACTAATTTTCATTTTGACATTAATCAAATAAATTTAGTCACAACTGACAATCGCTATTGTCAATTGTTAAACTTATCATCCTATGTTAGACACTGATGGACTTTTTAAATAGGAAGTTTGTGACACTGAGTGCAAAAAAGTTTGTTACCTAATCCGTCAATCGGTACTTCTGCATCGAATGAACAATTGACAATAACCTGATGTAATGATATTCATGAAAAGGCCGTTATGAAATGCATTAGGAAATTAGACTGAACATTGAAAGTAACATATAGTGTAACCTTCTATTTTACGGTACGATGCGTTTTCGGCAAAACTGAAATATGCCCAAGTATGTATACTGTATTATAAAGCTGAAGAGTTTGCTGTTTGAACGCGCTAATCTCAGGAACAATGGGTTCGAATTGAATATTAGTTGGACCATTTATCGAGGAAGGCTAAAACCTTAGACTACGACAAATAGAGGCGAGGAAACAGAAGAGAAAACGGTTCAAGGAACAAAAAAAAATTGTTTGAAAGGATGATTCTAATGAAACAACGGGAAGCGAACGATGGCGACGATTTATAAAGCTATGGAGGTTGATGGCAATGGATGGGAGGTGGAATATTAACTATTCCACCCAGAATTCCAGAGAAATAATTGGGTACAGCTAGTATTTTTTTAAAGCAGAAGCGGTTGTTTGCAAAATTAAATAGGACAACTATTGGAGTAGTTTATTATAATTAACATTACAATTAAGGTATTCTTTTACAATTACCAAACTAACTCTGTAAGTATCATGACCTAACTTTTTGATTGCGGACACACAAGCTTTTTAGATTTGAACCAGATCTGTCTAACTGGATCCCGAATTCAAAATCGTGTTTATATTATTTTATTATTTAAAAAACGTTCCGCGCAAGAAATAAGTTAATATGTTTATAAATACATACTTTAAAATTCTTAATGACAAAGGAGGAGAACCAAGCATAGCGTTTTTAGAGTATTGATAAATTGAGGCATTTAACATGAATCACACAATATCATTACATCTGTTATTTGGCCCGAACTCAAATTTGTTTTTCGAAATGTTGGATCTGGTGGGAATCAAATCTACGACCCGTTTATTATTTACCATACAATGCTATCGTTCGACCAACGGGAAAAGCATTTATTAAATTTAAAAATATTGTGTTCGATTCGAAATTCGTTAGTCCGTTTGATCGACCCCATTTTTTGTATTGATAAAAACGAGTTTGCACATCCATAATTCACAAGGAAGTGGGCTATGTTTTAACTTTTACTTATAATGTGTTTTTTTTATAGATATGACGTAGTTTTACCGACTACAAAAAGGAAGGCAATTTTTACAATTGATATTTCAATTCATACAGAATTGAATACAATTTTTATTTAAGTGCTCTCTCGTCTGGAGGACACGTTTTTAACCAATTTTATTTACATGAAAATTGTTTATCACACACGGTCAAGATACTAGACCTTTAAAGAATATTTCATGTTTTGCATGGGATTCGAAGCTACTCTCGTGTTTCTGTTAAGCCGAGGAGGAGATTTTAAAGTTTAAAGTAGTTAGAAACTTAAGATATTTTGTGTCTTTTATTTACATGTTTATGTATATAAAAAATAAATGCATAACATATTAAAAAAATAAAATACTTTACGATGTTCTGTGATAGCCTAAATGAAGGTTACTGGCAGTGTCCTTCCAAAATTGTAGGGAAGAAGGTTCCATGCTTTAATTAATAGTTATTTTTAAATTAAATTCATATTTTTCATATAAAGATTTTCGCAATAGTTAAGGCTGTTTTTTTTCACACTATTGCAAATGAAGTAATACTTACGGTAAAGAGCTAGGCGCCTCTACATCCCTAATAACTTGAAACGCATCACCCAAGTTCACTTTAACACACGCGGAGTTAGGAGCACTTTTCACCTCGACCCTCTTCGATAGATCGAAGAATCGATCCTGCGCGTGGATCAACTGAGTCACCGTGAACGAGTTCTCGATTTTCGGCCCGAATAAATCGTCTTTCGAATCGATAGTGATGTCCAGAACCGGATCCGACAGGTGGAGACTGCGTTCTGTGGCGAACGCGTAAGGAGTGTTCGCGAGTTCTTCTTCTAAGCTGTTGTAACGGCTTCGGAACAACGACCCCCCCTCTTCGTATTTCGCGCCGAAGAGGTCGTACTGGCTGAAGCGGTTGTTGATCGAGTCGAACTTCGGATCTGTGATGTCTTTGTCGGGGGTTTTGATGGGCGACATGTCTATGTGTAGGATGCCGTGCTCGTCGCTGTATTTTAATTGTAGGGCCATTGTATCTGTAATAAGGATATGTAATTTAATATAGCTAACATTTTTCACACGATGGCACTATGTAAATTAAAAATTTATTATTTAAATGGTTTGAGTTTGATTATAAATTGAAAAAGATTACGACATTAACCAATTCAACTCAATGGCCTAACCCTCTAAAGCAACAACACGGAACGCTGTGGGTGCCGGTTCAATTCTTGCCCGAGTCGTAATTATTTTTAATTTTTATTACTATTCTTAATTCAAACCTAAAAAGAACGGGCTCTTGGTAGTAATGGGTCGTGGGTTCGATCGTCACATGGTCCAACGCGTTTCCAATATATTAATAATCTTTCTGACATATGTATTTTTCCAGATCTCCTCTGAAAATCTGGAAAAAAACATATAAAGGATATGCAGATTAATTGCGTTTTAGTTTCAATTTGTGAATTTTTGAATTTCTCTCGGGGATTTTCATCTTCCACCAAGTAACACCACGCTTGTTCGACATGTAGACATGCGTCTACGCAGCGTATCTTAAATGATATTACAATTTTTACTGAGCGACTTGAAATTCAAATGAAATGTGTCATTTCGGTAACCTACTACGAAAATAAAGGTAATTTTCCTCGGGTTGAATTTCCCGGAATAAAAGCAAGCATTTTAAATTTAATCACATTTTTACAATTCATATTCTTCAACGTTCTAGTATAGATTGAGTGTTGGTAATTTCAATATTAGTGTAATTTTGTAATATCTGCCTACTCATGATGAAGCCGAGATGACTACAATCTTATTATACTTACAGTATTAATTTCGTAAAGGAATCAAACGCGTGACTCGACGTAATCAAGGTGACGGAGCCAGCCAAGCATACAGTGCGTAATTATACTTAACCAGTTAGAAGAAATAAAACATAAACCGGCAGCGAAATCCATTCCCCCTCCTTCCTCAGTTCAGAATTTGACTATTTTAGTCTATTACTGACTGTAGTTTTCGCGAGTACTACACATTAAAATAAAACACTTTAACTGTTTAAAACGTGATATATTAGAGTTAATCTTATTTTAACTACGGCCCGACGTTTCGAGTCTTCCTCTGACCACGTCTGCCGCAAAGCATCCGAAACGTCGTAGTTAAAATAATTTTCAAATAAGTTTGACTAATATATATCGCGTTTGAAACCGTTAAAGTGTTTTATTTAAATATTTTTGTCCATTGAAAAGTGTCCCCCGTGACCAGAGCCACTTTAAAGCATCCGTTTCGCGTTTAAAACCGTTAAAAGTGAACTACTGGCGTAAACTACAGATAATACTTAAATAGATACTACATCATACGTGTCTTTTAAGCTGAGAACATATAATTGTTTAGGAACCCTAAAAACTTAAAACTTTAGTAATTAATTTATAATAAGTTAGAGGGCCAGGTCACGTATTAATGTTTTATATTAGCAACAAAAATAACAGAAAATTAATTACAACGATACGCTAAACGATATTATATTTTCTTACATACTAATAATTGTGACACACATACCGTGCATGTACAATGAAACTTATTTGTGGCCTTTCTGCGAGCGGGCGCATAAGATTGGCGTAAAATAAAATTGTAACTTTGCATCTCTTACGTTACTTCGTCTGAAAATCTGGATATGAAACGGATTTTATTTATTCCTACCATAAAGAAATTCCGTCGGGGTCATGAACCACGCCCACAGACGAAAAAGACGTGAAGCTTAATCGCGTTTTGGTTTCAGTCTGTGGATTACCGAATATCCAGTGGCAAAATAAGTCGACAGCGCATCGTGTGTAGATGCTATAGGCTGGGATATATCAATTACGTGAACCCCACGCTTGTCTGTCCTCCTCTATTATTAGAAAATAAATCAAACTCAGTACCTCTCGCGCACAATGTATGATTATACCTTCAACTATCGAACCTAGGAGTATATCGTAATCGTATAAAATAAAACACTTTAACGGTTTAAAACGCGATATATTAGTTAAACTTATTTGGAAATGATTTTTAACTTCGGCCCGACGTTTCGGATGCTTTGCTGCAGCCGTGGTCACGGGGAGACTGATAATCATTTCGATACACACATTTGATAGAGGAAGTCAGCCATATAACATCTAAACAAGATGCGCTGTCTCGCTGCGAAATGCTATTTTAGTTAACGGCTTTTTCATATGTGGACAGTGTTTCGGGCGGAATTTCAGACGACAAGTAACATACTTCATAATATTATAAATTCATTAGAAATTATTAAGATCCAGTGGGGATTAAACTCGTTTTTTAGTCATTGCTTTATTGCTTTACACCAACCACCAGATCCCGTTAAATATGTAATACATACTTACTACCTTTCATTCCATCAATCTATCTAATCTATTTTTGAATAATTGATATCTTTCATCTTTGTGTAATTTGTTTTCCATCGTTCATTCTTAAATATTTAAGCATTTCCATAAACGAAAAAAGGTGTATTTATTTGTATCCGCGCTTACTCGCACCACACAATTCTTTTACATATTGCTACTTAATTTACTAGGCCACGTATTATTAAAAAGGAACTAAGCGAAAAAATACTTTTTCGATGAATGAATTAGTATGTAGTATTTAGTTCCTTTTCTCGAACCTTCATTATATTTTTGTTTTCATCAAGTTTAATCGCTTTTTAGTTTCAGTCTGTGGATTTCCGAATAACGTAAGCCAGAATAGGTCGACGACGCATTTTGTTTAGATGTTATATATGGCTGGGGTATTTCACTAAAGTGAATCCTATGCTATTATCATATCATATTATCATAAAAAAATAATACATATTAGCTCAATATGAACTTAGTTCTTAGTTAGAAGTCTCTATACTTAAAAGTTCCCAAGCATTGGATTTGAATCCGTGGATATAAGATGAATTGTTTTAATACAATTTGTATACCACGATCATAACTACAATTCTCATTTGTCACACGTCTTGTCACAGAGGTTAATAATTTGTTTTTTTTTATGTGGGTAGTTTGTATATTTTTCTGTGCAAAAACAGAATACTAAACAGTTTCAATGTTTTAAGACGGACAATATGTTAGTTACTTTATTTTGACAGTGAGCGATGTTTCGGGTGCCATAGATTGTCTTTTAATGTGGGTAGTTCATTAATTCAAGTTTCGTTTGATCGAAGACGTTTTCCATACTCGCGAATTTAATTTAAAGATAGGATGTATAGCGCAATACCGTCAATGGCAAATCGGAACGAAGCCTCACCCTTTTGCGACTGTCGTTCATTTGAAACGAGAATGTAAAAACATTGGAACGGAAAACTTCAATTGTCGTAATTATCTAGTTAAGTGGAGACAAAAACATGGTTAAGTGTGTGTTGGGTTTGTTTGTTGAGTATAATTTTCGAAAAGTATCTTTCGAATAATCTTGCTTACTTACGTAAAAACTTACGTTAAAAAAATTACAATGGAAGCGAATATACGTGTCGCGGGACTCTCGATTGGTATACCTAATAACTAAGTTGAACTGTTTCCTATTGAAATTGTTTAACTAATAATAATTATTTGGTAACTACACTACTACGTACAGACTACAGAGTATAAACAAATTATTTCTAAATTTTCTGTTTGGAGGACGCGTGTTTGGAAGAACCTTTGCTTCCATATCCTAAGAAAGGTTGTCTGGAAGAAATCTTCATTGGCGATAAGGCCGCCTTGCACTAACTTCTTTATGTAAATTAGATATTTACTAATTTCTATTGGTTTGTGCAACAAAGTGTTTTATTATTTTTAACGAAACCCCAGGTGCTGCCCCTATCTGGCAATATTACAAGTAATGGCAAAACACGAATTATTTAGAAGTGGCAAGGTTGGTAGGCGTCCTTGGTCTGGCCTTCTTTTGATCTAAGCCAAGGTTAACACTCGATATTAACAAAAATTGGGACGATAACTATTTTTATACCTCTTTAACGGCCCAGCAGTTCCTATACCTTACTTTACCTACCTAACTTCTTAAAATACCGAACTATAGATTTTTTAACTAAAAGGGAACGTTATATTATGTTGGTGTAATAACAAGTGACTTAATATAACTTTCTTGTCCACCTCCGTGGCTTGAGGCATTAAGGGATGGTGTCGCCTATGAATAAAATCAACATAAGGCAGACACAGATAATATCATACGTAGAGAAAACGGAATTTCTTTTATAACTTTTCAAAAATGAAATTAAACAATTAGTCAAACAATTACGTCTAGCACATAAAATTGAAAAAAAAATGCTTGAAGAAAACACATAATAAGGGTTTTCGTACCATTTTTATTGTATTCTATATATTATTATAGTAATAATGTAGTACGTGATTTAATGATTCAAAATTATAATCTAGCATGGTAACACTATTTGTTTCCAAAAAGTTTTATTACAGTTTCCACTGTACGAAAGACCGAAAGATTACTTATTTTTCTGTACTCAATGGTAATATGTGCATGCAAACTTCCTATTCATATGTAAATCAATAAGTTATGGGAAAAAGATCTCTACCGGTTAAGAATAAGATTGTAACAATACACTACCACTGAACTATAGAGATATTAGGTAGATGTAGCAATTAAAATTCTCCGTACGAATCTAGAATCCTTTACCGTATTTAGTATTTATCTTTACGTGAAGACAATATTTGAAATGGCAGGATAAGTATTTACGGCAGAAATATGTAGGCTAAGCACCAATTAGATTAGTTAAAAAAATATAATTGATTGACATGACGTGTACGAAGAGGAATTTTAAAGTGTCACTGTTTAAATCACCTCTGAAATTGTATTATTTTTCAAATGTCTAACCTGTAAAAAATTGAAAAGGGGACAGAGTTGCTTAATTGGTAACAGCAGCAGCGCGGAACACTGTGGGTGCCGGTTCAAAACCCGCTCTTGTCGTAAAATTTATACAATCTAAATACATTTTTAATTTGTTTAAATTACCAATTCGTAGAGGAGTTAAAGTACCGTCTTATGGGAAAACTAGTTACGCGCGTTCTAATCCGTTAAAATAAATCTTTACCGTGTACACTTGAATTGCGTTCTTATCACCTAGCAATAATAGCAGAGACTAAAGTCTTTAATCTCAATATAAAGATTGTTTTCTGGAACTTATCTGATAATATATTTTCTTAGTCGTTCTTAAAGACCCACTGCTATAAACCCACCGTGTTAGTTCAGAGTGGTTGGCGAGGCTTTTTTTTCAATTATAGAGGAAGACAGCCAAGCACGCGGTTTACTTGATAGTAGATGAAATACGCCAGCCATATAACATCTGTCGACCTATTTTGGCTTTGGATATTCGGAAATCCACAGACTGTAACCGAAACGTGATTAAACTTCAAGGCTTTTTCATCTGTGACAGTGATTCTGAACAACGTGTTCATGAATCGAACCCACGACCCGTTGATCCCATACGTCAAACGAGCTTTCACGACTATGACTGTTTAATTTAGTAGTGATAACCAGGATGGCCTAACATGTTTTCCCGCACATATAACGTATATTTAAGAAAGCACTTATTATAGTACGTTACATTAAAGTGCAGATTGTTTACATTCACAATGCCATACCTTGTTTTTTTATAAATACCATTGTTGGTATTTTATGTAACAAATCAATTAAAGAAACAGGCTAGCAAAAAGTTCAAGATCAGTAATTTAACAAAATTGTACAGTCGACCTCAACTTGGCTTGACTAAAGCGAATTAAACAATAGGTTTAAAGATAGCAGGTCTTCCGTTGGCTTGTTTTATTGAGAGATAAGTGGACTTCAATAAATTTTCAATTGATACCGACGAACATTCTGGGCCATTTCAAGGTTTTAAAGTAGAATTAAATTTAAACGAATTAAAACGTGATTTATTGTAACTGAATTTATTAAAGTGCGATATGATGTCAATCTTTTATCTTATGCATACTCAGAATAGCTACTCAGAATATTGTAGTGGGTATTTAAGAGGCCGCTAGTGGCAAAGTGGGCTAATAACAAAAAACATAATTTTCAATGAGGAAAATAAAAACTGCGTAATTAACAAATTTGTACAACGAATTATGTTAACAATTTTCGACATTAAAAATATAAATAAGTCATAAAATTGCAGTTAGACTATTCTGGCTCTAGCGGCTCTTAGCGGGTATAGAAATATAGTTCTACACGGTTAAGGTATAATAAAATTACTATGAACCATTAATCATAGTCAAGCCATTATCTTTATATTGATGGGGTTAATAGAATTGACAACGCCCTAACAACTATGTAACAATATTTCGATAACAGGGTGAATGTAGCATCTTTTATAGTGTATATATTTATATTAACTGTATTGTAATTTTTTTATTTATTTTATTATGAAGGTTCAGTTTCTTGAAGTCTTGAAAGTGTTTTACGTCACTAAAATTAACATTCGTACGGCACTAAATGTTAACACACATTAAATGTTTGGGTTTATGTTTTTATATATATCTATACTAATATATAAAGCTGATGGCTATAGGCTATAAAATATTGCCCCGCGGCTAACACAAGCGAAGATACAGCGAGGAATTAAAAAAAAATGGGAACATTATTCATCATAATGGATAGGCTAGTGCAAAACGTTCGACACTCAAAAAATATGAATGAAAGAATGATTCCTTTTAAAATATTTTTAAAAAGTCTGCGACGCTATACCTATGTCTACCTTTTAAGATTAACTTGCAAGAACGACAAGACCGACGTCGTGGGTAACAGCTTAAGTTTACAAAGTGAAGGGGTTTGCAAACGAACTTGGATGCCTAAAATAACTATTCTACGAGACGACGTCGCTGACACAGCTAGTGCAAATATAATAATACTTCTTGAAAGCAAATGAAATGGGTTCGAAGTAAATAATATTTTATCGTTGGTTAATGAAATAGCATATTTTTTTTATATTTCTCTTATCTATTATTGGGCGTTGGTTGCTGAGTGTGTTTTAAAGTTACATTAATCTACAGTGTTTTATTAGACGACTAATAGCCTCCGGTAAATTTGATAGAAAAAGGTAGACCTTTTTTTTAAACAAATTAGAACTAATTTGAAATTTGACTGTTTACAGTCTGTGGTTATAATAAGCACTAGTAGGTCTAGTTATTACAACAAAAAAAAAACAAAAGTAAGGCTTCTTGTATTTTAATGAACGCTTATTTAAATAATTATTGCGATAAGTCAAACGTGAATCACAAATTATTGGCGTAACGCCTTCTTGTGCCCCTCGCAAAAATTGTGTAAGCCCTTACGTTCTTACATTGTTTTAATATCTATATCTGGATAGATATATTACGTACTTTACTCACTTTATTATTATTTTTAATCTTTGAGCTTCTACGATTTGTATTGGAAACCTAGACATTATTTAACAACTACTTTATTTTACTAGGTATCAAGTTGATGAACAACTTAATGAATAAAAAATAAAGGTCGCGTCAATAGTATAGGCATAATATATATACTGACTAAGTATAAACTTTTATATCGAAATAAAACATTTTTAAGTGGCTTCAAACGAAAAATATTTTATCTCTCTTATCTATGATAAAATTAGAAATCATTGAGAATATCGTAAAGATTCGTCAAAAAATAACTTTATTAATCTATGAGCAAAATTAACTCCTCGTAATATTTGCTTTTGCCTTGTACCTAAAGTCCCACATTCTAAACGTTAATATTAGATACCCACTTACCGTACTAATAAGAAACAAAGAAATCTATAAGGGACATTCGTTGGAAAGTACGTAGTAGGTACGTATTATTGGGCACAGACAAGGTGGGTCTGTAGCTTCATATTAAGCAGTATGTTTTGTTGTCTACTGCCAAAGTAGATATTATGACGTTATATTACTTATTCTTTTCATGTATTTGGAAAAATAGACAAAGCAGGTATTACTTACTATATTAATAATAAAATCCACAACCAGAACACTTCACAGACACGCAGTCAAAAAATCAGTCTGACAAAATTTCACGAGTTCACATTTTCGCTAACACACAAAATTCCGTTTCGTCATTTCATTTTGATTTTAAAAAAGGTAAAAAACGACCGGAAATATCGCCGCCATGATTGATTTTTTGGCGCGAAAAAACGTCACTGACGTCATTTTGCCTAATTGAACCTGTCAAACATTTTAATTTATCCAAAGAGGTTATATTTTAAATTATATTTGTTTCTTATTAGAAGCACTTTTACTGAAAATTTATAAATAATTGTTGTGAAATGCATTATAATATATCTTGTAATTTAATGAAAAATTTAAGAATTTTGTTTATTTTTGTTTTGCACTGAGTTTCTAAGGCGACATAGTTTGTAAGAAGTTACTGCTATACTGACCATGCGAAGAAAGGTGGTAAAGGGGTGGTGGGTGGGTTGTTAATCAAAGAAGGAGGAATAAATCGCTTTTAATTACAGGGGAGTGCGTTAAAACTTGATTTTGCCGTTCTCTCTTTATTAATTTTGCGATGCGGGTAAAAATAGTGGCTTTTAATGGCGTTTCATTATTCGATTCGTAATTCGGTAATACCCCCATATACGGGTTTCACTAAGTTGAGCTGATATTTAAAAATTTTTTTTTAAAATTTTTGGGGTTTGAGAATTTTTGTAAAAACTTTTTTTCGGACTAAAGTTGAAATAAAACAAAGTAATTAATTAAATAATTTCATTTTGAAATAAAACGTTATAATACAATATTCACATTTTTATAAATAAGGTTTTTACTATGAAAAGCATGCGAACTTATAGGTTTAAGCTTTAAACAATATCCATATTTTGTAATGATATTAAGGAAACGCAATTAATACAATAATTTAAAACAGGAAATCGAAGGTAAAATAATAATATTACATTAATTAATAAACTCGATTAAAAATAATTTTATTAACGCGTAGTGAAGTAGATGTATGTCGAACTAATGCTATCTCAATGAAAACAATAATATACAATTTTTTACAAAGAAAAATTAAAAATATTATTATACATAAAGTGGATAGCCTATACAATTGTAAAGTGCAGATAAAGTCATAAATAGGATAAAAGTAAATAAATGAATACCTACGTCGTCTTAACCTAATGCATATTATAAGGCACAAATCACAAATAAATGTATATATACTACTCTATATAGAAAAAAAGAAAGAAAGATGGACGACACACAGATTGAAAATAAACAATAATAACCATAGACTAAAAACAGACGCGACGTTGCATAAATGCGTCACATAAATACAATCGGCAACATTATTTTATGTTTACTAGCGGAATTCTAATTTTAAAAAAGTTGATACATAACAATATGACTATCACAAAGCATATATCACTATATTATTGCTATAGTCGCGACCAATATGGCGTATGGGGGGTAAACATTCCTAACTCCGAAAATTTAGGGGATTGTTGAACCTTATCTATATCCCATTCATAAAAAAATAGCAGCTATGTAGCATGACTTCTTTAGAGATACTCCAATTTGTGTTTTCAAGGATATAATGCAAAAGAAATAACAAAAAACGATTATCAATGACATAAAGAATAGAGGGCCTTTATCTATTACAAAATGACAATACAAAGTTCAAAGTATATTTAATTTGAATCTCAGGTTGGAATGATTTGGGCCATACTATCAGCTATACCAGAATATCCATTATTTTTTAATAAAAGACCTATATATCCTTCAACACATGTTTCAAAATGGCGCCTTCGTTATTTCTCGTTTGATTAATTCCTGTGTCTAAAGTGGTTATTGGAATAACTCTGGATTCCGAATCTACAGACTTCTGGGATGCCGTTTCTGCTGCGTCCAAGTTCTGGAATAACAAGTTGTTTGAACCCGTTGATGGGTTCCGTCGGTGCCCCAGGTCGAAGACTGGGTGAGGACCTAATAACGGGAAAAGGAAAGTTAGTATTATACACTATCGTTGCTCTAAGGTAGAGAAAGTAATAAAAAAACCATATACAAACATATAACAGAAAAAGAACACGAACACAACAATTTAGTGGACAGTTATGTCGTGAGCTATGGGTCTTAGCGATTTAGAGAAGGGGAAGTCGCTATTTGAAGAAAAGAAAAAATCATAACATTTGGCTAAGAATTACAGGGCATAAATTAAAAATCGATTTCAAATATTAAACTACGATACGGGCAGAACTTGATTCGGCATCCACAGTGTTCCTTGCTGTTGCTCTAACCAATTGACACAGTAGGACACGCTCATTTATTTGGAACAAAAGAATCGATTTTTAATTTATATAGTGCCACATAAAGTAATTTCCTTTGAATAGCATATCAATCAGCTTCCTTAAGCATTGTTCTAAAAATATGTTGTCTCCTACGTACGTACCTATTGTGGAACTCTTCCTGGATGTGCTAGGAGTACTCCTGCCTTGCAAGCCAGTCATATCAGGTAAGGGAGGGCGTGGTCTTGATTCATTTTGCAAGAATTTAACGAATTCAGCGGCCAGACTGTCCGGTGCAGTCGAGGACTTTACCAGACCTAGTTTCTCGCATTCTTGCTTGTTGAAGTCTAAAACTGACGACAGGATTCTCAGGGTTTGTGTTCTGTGAAAAAAAGGAATTTTAATTATATTGCATTTATTCAATATACAAAGATATGGCCCGATCATAAACATTTTTTAGTAGTAAAAAATAAGGTATTTGTAATTTCGCCGTTTAACCTTGTTTTGGGTAAACCATTTATCGAAGAATGTTTATGGTTATATATAATCAGGCTGCGACCAACAGGAGCAAAGAAATAAAGAAAAATGTTGAAAAAACCGGGGGAAATATTTCGCCTATAGGAGCTGCCGTTGCGTGCTTTGCAAAATCAATTTACCAGATCAAAAATATGTATTAGATAATGATTCTTCTTTTAACGAACTTAAGCAATGACTGCGACAGTATACGTCTATCTTTTAAGATTAACTCGCAAGAACGATAGGAATGGACGACGTCGTGAGTAAAGGCTATATTTATAAAGCTAAAAAAGGCGGTTTGCCCAAAATTACTATTCCTAGCGGACGAAGGCGCCGGCGCAGCTAGTGATTTATAATTTGACTTCGAATTACAGCACTCATTACATTACTTCATTTCATTCTCACCTGTTCAAACTATTCTGCCCAGCGGTCATCGCATAGTTGATAACTAGATTTTTGACTAAGTTCTTGTCGACTTTGTCCTGCTGGTTTGATATGGCGTTATAATATCTCTCTTCTGCTGCTGCTATAGTCGTTTGCAACGTCCGCACTAAAAAGACAAGGATAGATATATAGATATGCATAATGTCTAAACTCGTGCATTGAAAATACGTCTATAAAAAGTTTTTTTATTTCCTAGCTAGTTTTGGACTCAAGGAAGTTTACAATATACATTTATATATAATTTTAAACGAAGAGGACAGACAATAATTATTAAATGTTCAGCAAGATGCGCTGTTTGTCTCTGGCATATGATATCTATGATTTCCACGTTTCAGAAGCATGTTGGACCCGATGGGGATCGAACCCACGACCCGATGATTATTAGTCCAACAAGAACATTAAGAATAAAATCCTTTAGTCTTCATTACATTAAGTTCAGCACAAAATTTATATCTTAATCGTAGTAACAACTTTATATAAAAAAAACTCTAGTCTACACTATAGTCTATGGAAAAAATCTTTTATCAAAATGCACAGCTACTCTCACCATGCACTAATCCACGTGGCACGACGACACGCAAACACGACCTCTAAGTATTATTCAGCCACTGGGCAGGGAAGATTAGTCTACTGAATATTTGAGTACCGGAAAATTAAGCTATCTTTGATACATTTCCTTGTATCTAAAATATTGAAGGTTCTACTGTCTGTTCATAGTTATTCCGATCAAACTGATCTATAACTAAGGGAAAACGTTGGTCTATTGTCTGTGGTTTTTAGTACAGACGAGTCACCTCCATTGTCTAATATTAGATACAACCGGTATTATTACTAATATTAGTAGCGATACTATCGCATATAGAAATACATCAAAGTTACATTTTACGGTAAAAGAAGTCAAATAAAACAGCAGACCTCTTTCCCCTATATAAAAACCACCAGTACCTGAAGTAATACTCTGAGACAATGTTGCTATCCTTGTCTTCTAGGCTTCTACTGAAAGGGACAACATCGAAACCATCGGTTTTTAAACTGATCGAATTTAAATGTAAATTGATCATTTTGTCTCAAACGATGGTATCGAACTACAAAGGAGTGCAATGCTTACAAACTCGTGCTTAACGATCAGTTTAGTCGAAACTTTTGCTTCGGTAAATAACAAAAGTTAATAATTCGGTAATAAATAATGGCTTTTTGTACGCTAAAGTTTCGACTAAAAACAATAATAAAAAAAAGACAAAATAAAAATCACAGGCAAAAAGACAATGGTGATTACAGGACGTCACGATGTGAAACACTCCTCAATCAAACCCCATATGGTAATCTGAGTTCGCTGAGCAAACTGACAATTGACATCTGTCACCTTGACGTTTGAACGCGGCGTGAAAACCTCACAGTTACCAAATGAGATTAGACCGAAGCTGGTGCAAGCTCGTCTTCAAAATGCTGCAAGCATATCTTAAGCTTATTTTACGACTGACAGTCTATATTTCATTTACGTTACGAGTATTTTAAAGGAATTGACAGCTTAAATTAAAAAACATACAAGCTTAATAGTCGGATTCAGCAAAAACAGAAAAATGAGACACACGAAAGCGACACAACATCATCTACATAAACAACTTACATGATTGTGTCACATGTTTTCTAATATTGGAGCTAAATAGTATCTAACTGCATACCAACTAGTAGTCTGGGATGTTACAAGCCCAGAATTACCAGCTGATATTTAGCCAGGCACCATACAAATAAAAAATACTATGCATGAAATTTTTTTTGACTTTATATAATTATAAAAATCTCACATGTCACGACTGCTGTGAAGCATCTAAAACCGTTGATCATAGATACAGACATAGCAAATAATGAAACTTATGAGGGTTTAACCCGATAATTTTATTTAAAAGATTGTCTGGATTAATAAACATTAATCAACGACAGACCAAAAAAAAATACAAAAGGTTTTGAACACATTAAATTTTAAGTCATGTTCACACAAATTTGGTAAAATACTACATGTCTTTACAATTAAGCAAAACTAAAATTTGTAAAGTTTTTATGTAGCATAATATATGTATAAAATTCTACACTCTAGTCTACGAAAAAAAACTAATATGAATATAAAAAAAGGGACAACATATCATTCAATATCAAATTCCTATTTTACAAAAATAAACGGATAATACTCTAATACATGCTTCTTACCTTGTTCCTTCAAATCATTAATTTGTGCAGTTTTAGTTTCAACCTGATCACCAAGCCTCGACGCCGCTTGAAGACCCGCGATAGATTCCTCCAACTTGGCATTCAGTCGAGATATTTCGCCTTGAAGGTTAAGATTTTGATGCTTGACATCTTCCATTTTGTTTCTTATTTTCTCCGTTGCAGCTTGAATATCACGTTCTTTGTCTGAAATTAAATTTAAAAAGTTTTTTCTTGAATTTTAAGCACAGCGCGGATTATGACGGTTGACGAACTATTTAAATTTTTGAGTGAGTTAAAAAGTTACCACGTCTCTCCTAATAAGTTCTTCACGACCAAAATCAGCTTTAAAAAATTATTAAGTGTATATCATCAATAAAATGTGGCATGTATAACTACTAAAACCATTATTACCTTTAACGAAAACAAAGAATACCGGAAATTACATACCCAGTTGGAATTGTTCCAGTACAACTTGGAGGTTTGTAAGTGCGGCTTCGCTTCGACTCCTTGCATCTTCCGCTTCACCAAGTCGGGCCTGTACATCTTCTCTTTGTTTTTCTAGAAGTTTGATTTGATTTCGGAGGGTCTCCACCTCTTGGTTTGCTCGGATGCTGAAAATACAAAGAGTAACATCATTAACATTATTCTTTGAAATATAAAGACTAGGTCAAGATTTGAATAAATACATATATAATAAACTTACCTATTGCTAGTGTATACGGTGCTGGTCTGCTTGGCGCGTTCTTCAACTTGATGTAACCTCGCTTGACACTCAGTTAGTTTCTGTTCTGATATCATCAACTCTTGGGTGTAACTTTCCTCTGTTTCCATCAAGTGATGGCGCAATCGCTCTAGCTCGCGAGTTGAGTTCTGTTCCTTTTCTGACAACTAAAGAATAAACTAGGTTTAGATTTAATAGTTTAACGTTTAATCTGTAAATATACTGATAGCAAATTTAATCTATTTTTAAAAATTTCTAATTAGTTGTAAGTTAAGTTAAAAAAAGTAGAAGTCATTACATTATTTCTTTTGTAACATTATAATGTAGATTAGGGTAAATATTGTTTACATACCTGTATATTTTCTGCTGTCAATTTCTTCACGGTCTCCAACTGAATCGTCAGACTCTTGTCTAAATCTTCACATTTGGTAGTTAAATTGTGCACAGTCTCGCTAGTTGTAAACAGTTCTATTTTTAATTTTTCAAAATCGCTAAGATTTTGATTAAGAGACATTATTATTTCATCTTTCTCTTTAACAGAAGAAAGTAACTTTTCACAATTTTGGCATTTCTCTGTGCAATCTTTAAGTAATGTATCCTTTTCAGTGACTATTTTCCTAAATTCATTATTTTGTTCCACTAGTACTTGGTTCAATCGTTGGATTTCGGCATGGTATTGTATGCTTTCATTGTGCTTAAGACTGACTAACTTTATTAATTCTGCCTTTTCGTTTACTTCTCTTTGCAGGTTAGATTTATAGTCTAAACACGTGTTATCCAATGATTGTAATTTATTTCGTAATTCCAAGAGTTCCTTTTCTTTTATATCAATATGACCGATAATTTCATTATATTTTCTTTCGACAGCGTTCTTTTCGTCTACTACTTTCGCATAATCATCGTTGTGAATCGTCGTAGTTTCTGAATTTATTTTTTCTGTTATTTCCACTATAGATTGCTGTAATTCTTTGATTTCTTTCTCTTTTTTATCTAAGTTTGCTTTATACTGTGAGTTGACTTTATTAAGTTCTTCTATACGGTTACTTAAAGAGGATATTTCAGAATTTTTAGCATTAATAACATCGGTGACGGAATATAATTGTTTGTTTATTTCTTCTTTTTCTAAATGTAATTTTTTGAGCTCTTCATGACTGCTACTTGAGCTTAAAGTGATATTATTTAACTTTTCAGTGACTTCTTTTAAGGAACTTTGATGGCTTTGGATCTCCGCATCTTTGTGTAAAACATTGTTTTCTAGATCCGATACTTTATGAGTAAGAGAAGATAATTCATCTTTATTTTGGTTAAGCGTAGTATTCAGTGTGTCAATAATTACATTTTTTGAATTTAATTCAGCAATAAGCTTATCAAATTCTCCTTCAAACTGAAGAATTTTAGCATCGGTGTTTGACAACTCTGTCTCAACATGTAACTTCTGTTTAAGAACGTTTCGATTTTCTTCTTTAAGTGCCAAAAACTGCTTATTTATAGCGTCAAACTCATCCGCTTTTAATTGCAATGCAGAAAGATTTTGTTTAAGCTCAGAGACATTTTCTATTTCATTTTTTTCGGATTGTTTCAAATAATTATTTTCATTTATTAAATCATCCTTTTCATGCCTCAACATCGAAACCTCGTTATTTAAATTAGTTATTCTTTGAGTTAATAGAGCATTTTCTTTATGTAAAACATCTATATTGTGTGAATATTCCGCACTATTATTTTTAGGAAGTTTTTCCAAATCCACAAGTTTATTTTTATCCGCTTCAAAAACTCTAACTTTCTCTAATAAGTTCACGTTTTCACTTTCTAATTCTTCCTTATGTTTTAACATTACATCTAGTTTACTTTCCAAGTCTTTAAGTTTGTGATCTAAAACAGATTTCAAGGATTCTAACTCCTTATTTGAACAAGACTTGTTTGCTAACGCATTCTTTAACTCATCAACTTCCTTTGTCAGTAAAACCTTATCGTTTTCAATTATGTGTAGATCAATAACTAACTGTTCATTTTTCGAATTTGCATTGGTTAAGCGTTTTTTCAAATCATCTATGTCATCAGAAGCCTGCAAAAGTTTTTGATTTTGCGAAGCATTCGCATTGATCTCAAGTTCTTCGACTGCTTTTGTCTCATTTTTGCAAGTTTCTAATTCATTTATCATAGAAGTGTATTTTTTTCGTAAATCACTTAAGCTTTCTTGAAGAACAACCTTTTCTGACTTGACCTCTGACAGTTCTTTCTCTATCCTTTTTATTTCAGTTTCAAATGTTTTATTTATCATGTTACAATCGGCAAGTTCAGATTCTAACTTCACTATATTATCTTCGTGGGTTTCTATAATTGGTTCTAATTTTGATGTATTTTTTAATGCTGCTATTTCGGAAATAAGGAAATCATTATTCTTTTTCATTTCATCCAATTCACTTTCAAAGTGTTGAATATCAGTCGTTAAATACTCATTTTCAGTTGTAAGATCTTCCACTTGGGTTTTTAAACGACTGATATTTAATTTCTTCTCAGATAGCTTTTGTTCTAATGTTTCGACATCTTTCTTGAAGGCATTTACAGTTTTAAATACGCTTTCTAGTTTAAATAAAACAATATTGTCAGTTGAGGGCATTTCTCCAACATAGTCAACAGGTAAATCAAAATTAACGTATCTATTATAGAGTTGCATGATTTTCTCCGGCTTGATTGTTTTATTATCAATGGTACTTTCACGTTCAGCTAGCTTATGCCTAAGGTCATTTATATCCCGTTTCAAAGTTTCTATGACGCCTTTTGCATTGTCATCTATATTAATTTCATCTAAATAAACTTGGTTTGTTGTCCGTCTTTCTTGTAAATCACTTAATTTCTTTAGCAACTCGTCATATTTTTCTTTAGGAACAACTTCTGACATTTCTGTCTCTTTTGTTGCAATGTCGACATCGTGCTCTAATTTCGTTACCTGTTCTTGTAGTTTAAATACCTCTTCATGAAGCTCTTGATTTTCTTCCTGAAACTTTTCAGCATTTTCCCTTAATAAGCTATGTATCCGTTCTAAGTTTTGATATTTATGGTAAAGCGTATCATAATCGAGTTGGGAGTTTTTGATACGATCTATTTCCTGGTCTCTTTCACTTAACTTGGCGAGCAATTGTTTGTTTTCCTCTGAATATTCATCATTAGCACTTTTTAATTCTTCGTGTTCTCTTTTTAAGCATTCGAAATTCTTCTGCAACTCTTTTTTTAGTGTAAGAAGTTTTTCCATTGCTATCTGGTGTTGGCTATCCAAATCTTCGAGGTTACTCGTGAGATTTTTGTTTTCTTCTCTAAGCCTGTTTAATTCTTCATCATTATCAGCTCTGTCATCAAGAACAGCTCTGTCTTTTATGGTGGATATTTCGTCTTGCAATGCTTGTATTTGTAATTTGTAGCGTTTCTCGAGTTCATGGTCGAATGATTTCGAAGACTGGCTGGGCGGGTCCCAATACCAACTGGATTCTTCTTCTTTAACGCCATTCTTCTTCAAGAGTCTCTGTAAAAATTAAAAGTCAATTTAAAAACACAATTAGTACTCGAGTTTTAGATAACTGACTTTTTGTAACAAAAAAACTGAGATAAGAAACAAATTAATATATTAAAATTCATTGGCATGTATTGTAGATAATTTAAACCTGTTTTAAATGAGCTCGACGACGGATATTATCGAGTAATTAACTACTACAGTCACGTACAAAATGAGAATGATTAAGCCTAGTGATCGGGACCTATGTTTCTAGATCTAAGTAAAACTGGATGTATGAAATATATTACACCCGTAACAAAGTTAGCGGATTATCCCGAAGTTGTGACAGTACAAACACGATAACGTATCTCTGTGTTGCTCATAGTTGACTCATTAATATTATATGCATCATACATTCATATATAATTTATAAGTTAAACCGTAGAAAACGGACGGTGTGTACGATACTCAAATTTGAAACATGTAAATTCACTTTCATACAAGCGAGCCTCAAAACTCAGGTTTGCAAGCAATTATAGCTTATAGTATACTCAATTGAAATAAAACCAATAAAATACAGCTGGCATATTTGCATAGATTATATTTATGGCTGCTTTGTGCTAATAAACGTTTTGCCTTGGATAAGACATTCATAACAGAACTAAGCTTCGACGTGAGTTAAAACTCTGGCCCAATATGAGATTAAATATGTATATGTACTAAATGCTGTCTGTAGTTGACGCGAGTAGTACACATTTAAATAAACACTTTAACGGTTTAAAACGCGATAAACATTAGTCAAACTTATTTGAAAATTATTTTATTTCAATAACGGTCCAACGTTTCGGATGCTTTTTTAGCAGCCGTGGTGGGGAGAAGTTTTCCTTTTAAAAGCAAAGCGTTTTAGACTCTTTAAGTGTTTTATCTCAATATATATGTACTAAAAGTAAGTGAATAATCACTTTAATTATAATTTATGCCTATATGCTATGCTAGCGATGTACGGAATATAATCAAAACGTACAATATTTTTCTAATCAATGTATATTAGAGAAAAATGTTTGGGTCCTCGTTGAATTGTTGGTAAATGGGTGGTTGGAATATGAATTCCGACCGGGTCACGAACCACCGTCCAAGAGAAAGCGAGAAGTATAATCACGTTTTGGTTTCAATCTGTGGATTGTTTAATGCTATGGCTGGGGATTTCTCCCACCATGAAGTGAACCCCATGCATGTTTGTCCTATTCTATCGTTAAAAAAATCAACAGCAGTGGTTAATATTACATTTGTAATAATAATGAAACCGAGTATGTAATAGCAAAAAACTGAGTGCATTAAAATCGCATGCTAAACGAGTGTCGTCTGCTGGCCTTGTATTCACTGTCGCGGAACCAATAGTCATACGGCTTTTAAACACAGACTCCGTTAGTAATCACAGATAATAATTATTCAATTGATATAGAGACTAAAAAAACTAGCCAGTCTCGAATTATAAGCCTGAAGCTTACATATTATTCACTGTAAATAGATAAAAGGAGATACTAAGGAGACGACTAATCCACATTCAATTTGTGTGTTCTTATACATTGACGATACCATAAGGAATTGTTCCTTGCTTATAATATTTGATCAATAAAGGCATTATAATTTAAATGAAACAAAAAGGGCAACAAAAACTAAATTTCTTTATCAATTGTCGAGTAGACATCAGTCTCTTCGAAGTATAGCCAAACTAATTATGCACCTGCCATACCAAATAACGAATTCGGAATTTTAAAATTAGTTTTTCATTCTTTTTTCAGTTCCTTGGCAAGTGGAGCGTTAAACTGATAAGACAGTGTCACAAACAACCTTCCAAATCATTAGAAACACACACCTTTAGATTCAGTAGAAATTATTTATGTAAATTATACAATGATCCTAATTAACTCTTAATAAGGTTTTTAAAATCAACTCAACAACAGAAAAATATAATGGTACCTATTTTTATTCTGATTGTTAAGGAGGTTGGAATCTTTTGAAAGCTTGTTCACGATGGCGTGAAAGTGATTGGTATTACATTGATTGGTAAAATATTATGATATGGCATTGGTAATTATACTTTTATCATCTTAAGCCATGGTCACGGTAGCTGCAGGGCATCCAAAATGTCGGGCCGTAGTTAAAATAATATTCAAATGAGTTTATTTATATATATCGCGTTTTAAACCGTTAAAGTGTTGTATTTAAATGTGTACTATTCGCCTAAACTACGGACAGTATCTTATGAAAAATTAGAAATAAATTCAGATTCAATTCTTAATTATCTATCTATCTTTAAATTTACATCACAGATTCCTAAATTCTGGGGGAATTCTGGCTTTCAAGCACTTAGGTTACAATTGATGATTTAAAAGGTTACAAAACAAGTCTTATTATGCTACGTTATAAGTCAAAAACGGCTTGCATTGGTGACCGCGGTTCCGTATGTTTGGACACACGAAGGGATTTAGATAACTTATCTACGTTATCAATGTTATCACACTATGACCGTATACTCTGGAGGTGAAGCAAACGTTTTTATCCCTGTTTGGAAATACTCATGGGAGCTCAGACGATCACTGTTTCGCATATTTTAAATTAGAATTTGATGAAAACGATATTTTTGTTAGGAATGGATAGAAATTCGGTTACCGGGTAAATAACGCCCTATGTGTGTCTGGCTGTTTTTTTTTCTCTTTATAATTAAGGTAATTCTTCGAGAAATCGAACAACATCTCCCGATGATGATGTCAGCTCGTGATGGCGAAACGTCGAGCACCTCTTCTCGCTCGCCGAACAGCCCGAAAAACAATGATATGCTGAAGGATGGTAGTGAAAGCCTTACACAATTAATTAGCCTTTTTGTATTTAGACACAGGTCTTAGATTTTTATTCAACTAAGAATCGTAACAGAAACATTAAAGCAAAGAATTTAACAGGCCTGAACGATGACGTAGCAACGAATTTAGTTTCAAAACTTTGACTTAGAATTAGAAGTCTTCTAATTTACGTTGAACATTAAACATTCCTTATGGCTTTACAGGCAATCAAAGGTATTCTAGAATTACATGTACATACTCCAAGGGGTAGGCAGTGTAGGAACAAACCGTCCGTGCCTACACAATGGGCGATAAACTCCTCAGATTGAGTTAGGTTAGGATCGGTTCCTGTTTCAGAGGTCAATATACCCTGGACCCTATTACTGTTTTTATTATTCATCGAATGCGCAGACTAAAAATCGTAGTGTGCGAAAGATCTGCAGAAATAAAATCGTCACGACATCTCTTTTCTCCTACACCGGTCTAATCATTGTCTACTTTAATATCGGGAATACGCTGTAATTTTAACCAAATATATGTAAACTGGTAATATTAGATTATTATTAAAATTATTTTTTATTGAGATTTCGTGTCTCTATTAATGCTTACAATTATCGATTAATCATATATGCCCAATTCATTTTTGAAATAACGTTTTGACGTATAAATAGTAGAGTTAGGATCTTTAACGCAGTGGAATATAAAAATATTTTCAAAGGGTATTAACAGAAAAATTATTAGATAGATATTTAACTCAAAGAATAATATAAATAAATAATTATATAAAGGAAATAAACACGTCATTTAAGAACTTTAATTAAACGATGTTTTACCAATTAGCATCTGATGTATGCACACACCATATAATAGGCAAAACTAATGTCATAATTTCGTCAAATCAGTGGTTAACAACCAATATTATTTAAGTGAAGACGCTTAACGCAATCCTTGACCGGTTTTCCCTTAGATCCTAACAATACTCTTGCGCAACTGTCGACATGCAAGACTGATGTCACGCTAAAGAAGCATTTTCAGCTCTAAACTTTTAACATAATTAACTGAGCTTTAGCACTTATAAATACCTCATTATATTCCCGAAGAGACCATTCCGATAGGGACGAGCACACGCAAATCAATAGGAGAGCGATAAAAAACAATTCAAAAGAACTCATGTTTAATGACGTTTAGCCTCCATTTTGAATCACGCTCCAAATATGAATTTAAACTGCGTTTTTCAATTATCGAACGGCACAATTGACAGTTACGCGGGAACTGTTTTTTTTTATAATTTCTATTAGTGGACAAGTGCTAGCGATATATTTTTGTAATGACTATAATTTATGTTCAACTTGTTAGATCGACTATTGAACAATAGGGCTAAGCCCGCAGAACCAGCTGCAATCGAAGGCGAGTTTTCAAAACATAGTATGTTTACATAATCGATTATTGTGACTACGCGCGAGATGATAGTATTTTATTATACAAGTTTGGATACAATACTTGTTTGTATCAGTGAAATATCATTATAGAAGGATGTTTATTAAGTTGTAACAAAACTTATGTTTTCTTTTTGACAGAGGAGAACAAAAAAAATCGGGTTTACTTCACGATAGTTGAAATGTAATTAAAATGTGCTGTGGAGCTATTGTGTCCCAACAGAATTAAGATATTTCTATCACCGATTAATTCGGTTTCAGTTTAGATATTTTAGTTGCTCGGTCTAACTATAGTAGAAAAACCAGACAACAATTTACATACTCGTTGGAAAGGTAGGCATAGAACCCGCAACCCATTATCAAGGCATACATCGCCAACAAATCTAAGAAGATAAATTACAATGAAAAATCAGAAATCATAATAGTAGCTTCCACTATTGGTATTATGTCCTTCATTGAAGGCGGAACATTGCGTGTTGAAAATTAAAAATTATGCTTTATTACGCTTACAATAAGATAAGTAATCCTACAAACGGCATTACTTTACAAAATCAAGGTGGTTTTGAAAATAAGAGTGCATTTATTCCATTCTATTGTATTACGAATGCAGTTGTAATAGAGGTTATTGCTGAGAATAAAAACTCATAACTTCAGTATACTATGACACATGATTCTAACTACTCGCTGACGTAAATGAATATAAACCTTCATGGTTCAAAAATAACGTCTATTTTGTTACGAACGATGGTAAAGT